AGGAAATTTTCGAGAATCAATACGGTCTCAAGTGGGAACATCATAAGATACCCCCAAGATTATTGAGTCCGCGCCAAATTCTTAGCGCTATCACTGACGCAGGCTATGATTATACCAATTTCGCAGCTTACATTGAGATTAATGATCAAACATTAACCTTACATCGGTATTCAGATTATCATCCTTTTTTGAACCTGAGAGAACTTAATAAATACCTAGATTACCACCTTATCCTTAACGATCAAGATCTCGGCAAAGTAGCTTTCATTTCCGATCAAAATTGCACCGAAAATAAATACATCATCTATTTTTATGAAGATACTAGCACTTTATTTGCTAAAATTATCTATGATTATAACTGGCCACAAGATCAAAATAAGTTAACCGTCGATTATTGTCGTATCTAATAATAACATCATTGCAGATAATTACATTAATATTGAAGTTGAAAGAATGCTTAAACTCAGCCAACTAATTCATTAAGAAATTTTGATTCAGTGATCGTTTATAAACGAGGTTGCAATTTTATTAATAATATTTATTGTTACATATTAGTCTCTTATTTACTAAAATGATGTAAAACTTCAATGAAGTTTTTTTTTTCAAGATAAAATCACAAAAACATGTATATTTGCAAATTTTTATAAAGAAATAATTGTCTTTATTAAATAGGAATATTAAATAGTAATAATCAACATTATATATAGTTTAAACATGCTATTGCATGGATTTTTACGATTTTTACTAGAGTTAATTTACTCTTAGTCTATATTACTGTATTAGAGTGAACAGAGGGTCTCATCTATATCATAATGGTATGGATATTATTAGTAAACGTATCATAATTAATGAATAAGTGTTTATAGATAATAAAATTTTTATTAGATGAAGTGCTGCTAAAGAAAATCTGTAAACACAAAAAAATTCGATTATTTAGTTATTCAATGAGTTTACTTAATAATTTTATCACATAAAAATACCATAAAATAATGATTATTTTATAAGCTGTTAATAGTAAGGCATTGAAAAATAACAAATTTTTTGAGTACAGTTAAAATTTAAAATCGTAAGTACGAACGTACTTACAACTACAATTCATCTGATCGTCAAATCTTCTGGTCACATAATTTTTTTTTACGCTGGGATTTAAAGTTAACAGTTATATCCGAAAGAAGTCTTTTGTAAAGCATGAAAGTCAGTTTCTTGTGGAAATTTTAAGACTAAAATGATTTTTCAAGCACATATTTTAGTATTTATTTTTGAGTCTTTTAAAGAGTTACATTATGCCTAATATCCAGTGTCTCCATAAAAAAGTTGCAGTCACATGGCGCCGACAAAATTCTTTAAGTTCGTTAATGTTGATTGCATTCAGATTAAGATTAGACATTGGCAACATACACAGTTTATTAAGAACACTAAAGGTGGTTTCTTATGTAATTTTTGAGAAATAAACAATCTTTGACAAACGAACGTTTGTTCGGAATTTGTATGTTACACCTAATATCCTGCAACGTGACTGAACTTTTTTTAACGATAGGCCTCTTAAAGTATTGATTATCGACCTAATTTAGTAAAGAAAATCTTTCCACATTCAAAATATAACCATACCGATACGTATTTAACGTTAAGTAGAATTTGTTCACCTTTTAACGTATGTAATTGTTATCCAAATAATTTTAAATCGCTAGATACGTAATTGAATATGAAAATTTTTAGTTTTGTTAGCTTCAGCCTTTTGCTTTTTACATCAATTTCTTTGTCATGCACAAATTTTCAAACTACAAAATATTCAGCCGTCTTAAAATACTGGTGTGGCAAACCTTATATACCGAAAAGTCAATTAATAAAAAATAAACAATTGAGACTAAGCATTAATCAATGTAATAAGGAAACATTTTGTTTGGCAAACAAAAATGAACCAAATTATACTGGCACTTTTTCATCAGAAACACCTCCAACGATTAGATTTCCACCTACAAGCGACCCAGTCCCTTTGATACCAGATCTAAGCGACGGATATACAGCCATGTTTCGTAATCAACCATATTTGAGTACTGATTTAGTTGGTTCATTAGTGATTAGTTTAAACAATATTATCTCGACCATTTCAGTCAAAGCATTGCTACATGATGGATCTGAAATACTTGCAATAACTAAAATAAAAAATGAAGGAAACTCAATTGAATTACCTTTTTCGCTTGTAAAAATTAAACCCAAATTGGAGGCACATGAAGTCAAAATTTTATTTTACATTGAAGATATGTTGGCTCATATTTCATACGCAAAACTTTATGTTCTTCCCGTAGGTCAGTTTAAATTTATTTATCCTTGGCACATAAAAATTTTTTAATAATAATACAAAAAGGCTCTTTTTTTTAATCGCTAGGACCAAAAACTGTCAAGATTGATCGTTTATATGGCGGAATTTTGACCTCAACAAATGAAACAATTTTTCCAGTCGGACCATATGTTGATATTGGTGGATGGTTAGAAAAGGGTAAAGAAAGTTCTCTTTACATTTTCACAAAATATATAACAAATATATAAAATTGAATGAATAAAATTTGGAAACCCATATTTATTTAAAAAGGAAATATCCAAACCAATCTCCAAACTCTCAAAGATCAGAATTTTAATATCATTAATCCTGATCCACCATATCCAAATATTTCATTCATTCATCAAATGTTTCAGGCAGCTGACGCCATAGGTGGAATATATATTCAATTTTCATTTCGGCATGATTATACCGATATTCAAAAGGTTATAAATCAAGTAAACCAGTTTAAGAATTATTCAAGTTTACTTACATGGTATATAGTAAGTTTATTATAATTATTTAATTTGACTTTTTAAAAAAATCTATAAGTAGTTTGTTCTTTCGTGGTTTACTCTTGTGACTAAAATTATGATCAATTTTGAGGCGGATGAACCAGATGGTGAAAAATGGACATACAGTTCTGCAGTTTTCGAGGCATATGATGTTATAAAAAAAATGGATCCATACCATCCAATCTCTCTGACGCTAAACTGTAAATATAGTTCTGCTTTTTATGCAGATGCTAGTGATATATTGGGGACTGGTATGTTTTTATTCTCTTCCGTGGTAAATTCTTTAATACTTGATTAAAAAAAAATATTATTCTTATTAGACGTTTATCCAGTCGGTGTAAATATGTTATCCTGCACGGAATATAGTGATGTGTGTGGTTGTGACGATTGTATAGGAAGCGCCACACTTGATATACCTAAACGAACTCGACAGTATGTGAAAGACTTGACTCTCATAGGCCGAAAATCTATTGTAAAATGGATGGCACTTCAAGCTTTTTATGATCAAAATTCTTGGTGGGAAAGGGCACCAACGTCCCAAGAATTCAGTGTTATGTGGCACATTTCAATTATCTATGGATATAAGGTTTGTTTGTTTCTTTCTAAGAAATTATTATTATAGTTTTTGCTTTTCAAAAAATTTTGATCAATATTAAACGATTTATACTTAGAGTCTTATGTTTTGGAGATTTCCTTTTTTTCTTGATCGTCCAGTCATTGATCAAATCACCGATTTAAGCAAAGAGATTAAAGAGCTTTCAAATTATATACTTTTTATGCCACAACTCTCATCTTCTCATATAGTAATTTCGCCTGATAATGATATTTACGTTGGTGTATGGATATCAAAAAGCCAAAAGAATTTTTTGTTGATAGTGGTTAACGGTAACGAGAAGCTTTCTGCAAATTTTAAAATCACTATCAATGATTTGATTTGTTTTGGTTTACTACACGGGATCGGAAGGATAGATGATGAAAAAAATATTAAAGCATTCATTAAAGATGGAGTGTTTGAAGGCAATTTAAAGAAATATGGTGTTGGAGCTTTTGTTTTTGAAAAAAATTTGATCAATAGAGATTGCGACATCTAGAGAATAGAAAATTGGTATAATAGCTATTACTGTATAATTGTATCTTTAAATTAAATGGAAAAATTATTGTATAAGCCTTAGTTAATGTCGATACATATAATTCTTTTATAATCGGTTTAAAATAATTATCAACCGTTTTAGCGTTACCAGCCTTGCAATGACACTTCATTTATCACTAGTCATTACTTAAAGTGCTTCTTCCTTCTTGATTTCGATTCCCTTTCGTTTTTCACTCGTACAGTACATTATCCATATTACTAATTCGTTTCATCCTCACTTGACATTCAACATCATCAAGAATGGTTCCTTCCTTTGCCTTATAACAACAGATTCTCGACAATATATGAACGCTTTCTGTTCATCACCTCTAGCATACATTCCATCATTTTAACATCTAAGATCGTTCATTCCACTGGTATTTTTTTATATCATACATAACCTTCAAGGTCATTTCCCCCATTTGACGAGACATATTCAGATTTTTCAGACTCCATTCAAGCGCTACCCTTTGATCTTTTACTATGTCATTCTGATAGTAGATTCTAAACCCTGAATGAATTCCAATACACCTGAATACGTAACAGTCATTGATGTCACTTGTTACATTAATATGATCCATATCAGCAGATTATTGATAGTAATTAGACCTCTGATTCTTATCTTTCTCAACGCCGATTCCATCATGATAGCAATGTCCAACAATATTAGCTATTTCGGTATCATCCATGTCGAGGATATTTGATAATATTCGAACGCTTCACTTTCATCATCACCGACTGTTTCAACAACATAATTAAAAGTTTTATGTTTATTTAAATCAGGTGTGTTTTTCATTTTCATTCTTTCGCTGATTTGTTTTCTCATAATTCATTCTATTCAGGGATTGGTAAAATCACCAGTCGATCAAAAATTTGTGTCTGGTCAAATGGCCTAGTCCATTAAATTAATTTTAATACACAAAATAAATACATATATATAGATAAATATATACTGTATATTTAAGTATCCTTCGTCCAATTTGACCAATACTAAACCCTTTGACCAACTGGTCAAATTGGTCTAGTCAAGCTTGACCATTGACCGGTCTGTGCAAACCCTGGTGCTGCGTGTTGAACGAGTTGGTGAAAATGGAATAAATAAAAGGGAGGTTAACATATTTATTATAAATTATATCATATATGTTTACCTCCCTTTTATTTATTCCATATTCACCAACTCGTTCAACACGCAACGCGATCCATACCAGCAGATGCTTAAATGTTACTGAGCCTTATACCCATTCGTTACATCCTTTTCTACTCCATTTCCATGCTCTGCCAATTTTGACGATATTTGAATCTTTTCCTTTCATCTTTGGCACTTTAATCTTTTAGATCCATAAACTTAAGCAACTTACGTCCTCATTTTAACGTCCTGGTTTGTTTATTGTTTCTATTCGTCGATTTTTCTTGACACTTTCAGCCAACCGATATTGTAGCACAATCGTGGCCTACTATACTGATATTTTCTTCAATTTCCTTATATTGCAGCAACCCTCTTGATTACTTTTCCGATTAATGAAACTAAATTGCTGCATCTCCCATTATTTCTTGTATCTACTCCAGGTAAAGTCCTTCAATTTGTTTTCTATTGTCATTATTTATTTACTTCACTAACAATTTCCTTTTAAAATCTCTTTTGCAACGCTTGATCACGACTTTCAACGTAAAAATTTACCATAGAGAAACTTCAAATCTTTAAATTCAACAAGTCAACAAAACGACACTTTCACAGTAAAAGTCCAACTTCAGTGAATAAGACCGCATCTTACGTCCTTGTATCACAGAATTTATGATATAGACCTTGTGTTAAATTCATTTAGTAGAACACCAACTTGCTTGGCTTTATACTTTCATTATCGTATCGTACAGCTCTTAACCTTGATGCACTTATATGGGTTTGCGTATTAAAACAGCCCATTTTTGCATGTAAATCATCTTGAATAAATCGGATTTACTTCAAGTTCACTTTGTGGATAAAAAATCAAACTTTAATCTAATAAACGAATATATATTATTGAATGTTTTTTTGTACTCTAGTTAAATTTTTAATATGAACGTTTTTATAAAATCTAATCCAATAATTAATTGGGTATTGGACACTATAAACTTTTAATATCCAAATATCGTTGGACCCATTGGACCGACATCACTGAGTATATTATTGTATAATTTGATTATTACCCGATTACAGCATAGCGGGCTTTCATTGTAATTGGCTGATTTTTGTAGATCATCCCGTGATATTGCAAAAATATCATTGGTTA